TACAAAAAGGGTCAGTTTAGCCTGCAACTTCTAGTGATATGTTAAGCACTGCAAATTAAGACCAGACTGAAATTACTGACTCAACATGGGGCCAAACGATTGCAAAGCAAGCCAGAATCCCACAGAATGAAACGTGTATCTCTGTATCCCAATTCTGATATTACTCTAGAAGGAACAGACATTGGATGAGAGCTTGATCTACAGCAACAAAGTAATGTGGCGCAAACGAGGGAATCTGCTGTGAATGCATTAGAAACGTTTTTACCTTAATTTCTATGATGCTCTTTCATTCAGCTCTCTTAATAGCTATATACCAAGATATCAACAATGTGCAAACTAGGGCAAAAAAAAAAAAAAAAAACTTCCCCCAAGTCTTAATGCTCAGAAGACATGCAACTGAAGGATTGTCTAGTTTTGGAGCAAGGTAGAGAAAAACTGCAGACCTACCTCGCAGTCTTTAATTTACTAAACATAAAGAAGCATGGTAAAAGAGGGATCAGACCAACAATGCTGACAAAAGTTGGTGCCTCCATGTGGCATACGGTATAGGTAAATATTGATGATGCGTTATTGTGTGACTATGAATCAGTCTGGCGCTTCATCATTCAAGACCACGAGGAAAGCATTATCCAGTTGTATTATGAGCTTTGTGGGAAATGTATTGGCAAGGCAATTTGAGAAAGAAATACAAGATGGCATTTAGATCATACATCTTTGTAAATTGAAAGTAAATTGGAGCAAAAGCTCAAAAAGGGAGAGGAACCGGAAGATGTAAAAAAATTTAACCAAGACATTTGTCATAAAGCAACAAAGATCTAGGTCCAGGGAAAACATGTTAGACAAAAGGTCATAAAGTGACTAGCTGGTTTTCACTCAATTGGTGGTGTGAGCCGTGTGACATAAATAGTAACCCCTTCAAATCAATTCCAACAATCCCTCTAAAGTTTTACTAGTAGCTTCAATTAAGCATGGTAGGTAGCTCTATCCCTCCATCAGTAACCCATACATACATTGTCAGTAACCTCATAATAGTTAGTAAGTCCATATATGGGATTATTGATAACCTCATTTTGAATTTTTCACACCGTCAACTAATGGTGTAGCTCGTCTCATATAAGAATTGTGGAAAGGTGACTAACAACTTGCCCAATTGAAACCTCATCATCTCAATTCTCATTATAGTGGTGGATGCAAAAATGACCAAATGATCTTATTAACTTAGTTGAGGGACCTTTAAATTAACGAAGAGCTTGGTCAGAGTTTTTGGAATGGATTCAAATTGAGCTAGAATACGTTCCATTGTTTGGTTGAACTTTCTTGCCTTAGAATCTCATGCCATGAAATTTCTAACTCTGCCCCAACTACCAACAATCACATACCCACCTTCCCCCTAAGACTCTAACTCCATTCCACTCTGGATACAAACCTAGCTATAAATCTATAATAGAAAGAGAAAAGAGAAAATTAATGAAAAACAATCACCACACTTTGCCATCACTAGAAAGGCATCACCAAACGTTTCTTCTTCGTCTAACGCTATTAGTTTTTATTTTCTTTTTTTATTGTTGGAGGGGGTATTATGGCGCAAATTCAGTGCAAAATTCAGGCAAAGAGATGCTATAGCCTCTATGAGTAGAATAGTTAGCGTTTTATTCAATCTCCACAATTTATTACATTATTCTACCCTTTGTAATGGCTATTTTTTCTTCACTTGCTATAATCTTTTTTTTTAGAGAAAACCTGCAATTTTGGCTTTGTACAAAATTGACTCTTTTCCTTCTCTAGATAAAATAAGAGTGCAGGAGCTTTAAGGAGAAAATGGCATCCAATAATTGGTAATTTCTTTATAATGTCATCGCTGTCAAGAAGTTAGGACTTCGGAGGTATTTACATCACAAAAAGGGAATGGCTAAAATCCATACCTAGTGTTTGTTTAACAAAGTTTTGATTTTTAAAGCCATACCTCAAAGGCTCAAACCCACAGGGGAGGTGGGTATGGCTCATACCAAATTGTCAGATATCAAATAAAGTAAAAATATTCACTCCCAAACATAACCAAACACATGGTATTGAACACATACCACCTCAGCTTCATTTGTAATTCCAAACTCATACTAAAAAAACCAAACATTCTCTTATACACATGCAAGTCATTCACTGCTATGCCAGCTTCAAGCATCTATACCTGACACAAAATACAGTATCTAATCCCAATCCAGTGAGGCCACTTTCAATAAGAAAATTAATAACAGGTCAAGTACGACTAGAAAGTATCACATACCTAGAAGATAAAGACAGAAAAAGTTGATTTATGAAAGAAAAATGAGTAAATATATAAAAGGTCAAAATTATGACTCTTAATTATCTAATCTGTATTGTTCAAATTAAGTAGACAGTTATCTTATAGCTACTCCAACAACCAAGGTAAATCTATCAACCCTATCATCAAATTAAGTAGACAGTCTTCCTACAACTATTCCAACAACCAAGGCAATCAGAACTTTATTAATTTACATAAGAAACAGCGCAAAAAGGAAGATGAAAGATCATACCGGTGTAGCACTAGGGTGTGCACACTTCAAGCAAGAGAGATATGCATTCTTTTAAAGCATTCTGTACTCCATAAGCATGCAACCCCTTGATAACAGAATTTGAAGGATCCAGACCCAGAAGGACTGGAAGAATTCGTCCATAGAAGGATGGCCTCTTCACAGCAATGGCTGACAAACTGGTAAAAAATATATAATAAGTAAGACCAAACAGTCAGAAAAAATCATGAGGATCCCAAGATAATGAAAGGAAGAAAACTTGGAACACAGATATAAATATTTAGATTATGACATCATCAGAAGTTCATGGTCTCATGGTCTTAAAAAAAAAGGGCTTTTTCCATTTTGTCCTAAGAGGATCTATTTTCTGGTGATTGTCCCATCACTTATCTTTCTAACAATTCAAAGACAGTGATATCATTTGATAAGCTGAAACACTTGCAATTACACACACAAACACACCACCACCAACAACAACAAAAGTGTGGTGTAACACAGGCACTTGAACATTCGCCACAATCTCCCCACAACTATAAATGAAAAGCCTCGCATTACAGTTTACAGATATAACTCATTCCTACATGAATGGGAAGTTCCAATCTTTGGTTGTGCTTCCTGCACGTAAACTTAAAAATAGAATAAAAGACTACTGACCCAGGACAATTGACAAAGTATCTAACATTCTAAAGATGATGGTAAAATGTTCCACAGCTGTGTCACTGCAATCGTCAATCACCACAGCCTTTCTCCAGAAAAATTAAAGTCACCCCATTATCATTCACAAAATTGAAGTATTTCCAGCAGTTGACACTCTGGGAAGAAAGGCGTCACTATTACTTTGAGGAGTAAAGCAAGTTCAGGGCAGGAACATTTGCTAAAAGGAGTTGTTAAAGGCTTAAAGCAAAATACAACGCTAATAAAAATAATGCCCTCTTCTTGTACTTAGATACAGCTATACTAAAACCAACAATTAAAAAGTCATTGCATTGACAGCTGTTCCTGTTGGACTAAAAATCCAAATATTTCTAAAGGTTACAAAAAATCACATCTAGTAATACCCAGGTTTAATTCAAGAACAGAAGGCCGTTTTGTTAAAGCATTTAATAGGTGCACCAGGGTAATTGAGTCCACACTAAGTAAACGACAGCAATTAGAAATCAAATAAATTAGTTATTATTGTCATTTAAGTAAAAACTGATAAAATAAGGATATTGAAAATCAGAGTATAGTGCAGTGTATGAAAAAGCACACCTCAAGAGCGCCGGTCGCTAGGCAATTGGGGCAGAGCGCTTTGTGATCTAGATGAGATGAATTCAAAGAAGTGCATGAGGTGCAGAAAGTGCACGATTGAGATGCAACCAACTACCTAAGGCGCACATCAGTCGAAACTGAAGCAGCTAGTTTCGAAAGCAAGGTAAGGCCCTCCTCACCACTCGGAATACATTTAATTTTTTAATTTAGTGCACATCACTCTATAGAGGCACACCGATGGGGACCCAAGGCACGACTAGGTGCAGCAAGACCCATATGGCCTTATCGCACCTTGAGCTTTCTTGTACATCGATTTAGTCAATAATACCATTTATTTTTGATATATGTATTCAAATAAAAGCACAGCTCGGGTATAAAACTTGAATTACTAAACTTCAAGACCAAAATAGAAAACAGCTAGGGAGCTACTAAACTTCTAGACTAGCAACCTTACATCATTTTCCAAGCAAAAAAGGAACTCAATAGAGAGGTATAGCTTACCAATTAATGAGCACAACCACCATGGAGGTGCTGAGAGATTTCACGATGGGGAGGCGAAGCTGATCAAGCAATAATCTCAAACTTTGACTGGCTTCAATTGACAGATCCCCAATCTTCAGAAGAGGATGCCCTCTACGAACACATGAGATAGTGAACCCTGCTTCCTTACCTGCAGATAAAATCAGACCGTTAATAACAATATCAACAAGAAACATTAAGTACATACTAATAGCTAGATTGAGTTATGGCCCATACCATTACCATCACTAATAAGATGAGATGGTAGCTCAGTACCACCATTGGGGTCTGGAGTATAAATAAGAATGATGGCTGCAACAAATTTCAGAGCCAACAATCGTTTTCCATCACTTCCAGACTGAAATACAGGCATTCATCAGATACATAAAGAATGAATGATATTTTTTCTAGTAAGAGCACTAAGAACTTATATACAATTGAAAAAAACATTGACGAACTTTATGCAAGGTAACATGCCTCAAAAGCTATTGAACATATCTTTTCCTTCAACTTCAGCATCCACTCCCACGCTGACTCAAGCGAATCATCCAACTTGCTTGCATTTAGCCCCTACACTTGCCAGAATAAGATGAGCTGAGAACATTCTTGAAGCAAATTGATTAGAAGATGAAAAACATTTGTAAGGAAAATGGTCCGAACCATCCAGGGATAAGTTTAAGCTAATTGACATCATATTAAATTGGAATCACATTAAATTGATGCCCTCCTATACATGCATTGATAATTCATATTCCCTCCGCTCTTTTTTTTTTTTTTTAAATCTTCCTACTTAACGTTCATATAAAATGAAGTAGTAAGTGGAAGGTGAGTCCCTTTTTTTACTTTTTAGGTAGGAGATAAAAGTTGTTAAGAAACATTGGTATTATTATATAATTTTATATGGACCATGTGATGGGGAAAGGAGTGATAGAAGTAATAATTTTCTTTACAATAAAAAGAATAAAGCAAAAGTAGGAAGATAAAAAAAAAGAACATATCAAAATGGAAAGTGGGAAGATAAAAAAAAATAAAAAAAACAGAGGGAGTATTAAAACCAACCTAAATTTTGGAAATGCTATATCATCACTCTCCTAAGAAAGCTTTGCAATTGCATATTTGTTCCCTTTAATGAAAGGAGAAAAAAAAAAGAATTTGATGGAAAAACAATCATTAAAAGAAGAAAAAAAACCAAACTAGAGTGCAGGAGAATCAGAAAACCTAATATTAGGAAGATTTCATAAATACAAATTTCTAAGTAGTCATCTGAAAGACAATCCAGGCTTGAACTCTTACAAATCAATGAACACCAAGGCTGAACTTGAGCTAACCAAGCGCAGCCAGTTCAGCGTGCTGAAAGCCTCAAGCACATTTTAAATGCAGCATATTAAGCTATAACAAGTCTCAAGCTCACTCACATTCTCAGCAGTGACATGGGAAAACTCAAGGCATCACCTCTACAAGGTTAGCAGAATCCAGCCAGAACTGGGTCAAACTAACAGCCCCCCCTCCCACCCCCCCCCCCTCTTCCTATCTGGGTCACTATATTCCCACCAACATGATGTTAGAATCCTACACAACAATTAATGCCAGTATTTACAGATTCATCTTTTCATCAACAAATTTAATGGATCATATCTCACACGAGATTACCTGTAATGCTATTTTCTCCATGGTACAGCAAAATATATTAGTGCCAGATGTAATAGCTTGCCGGGCCACTGCTGGAGTATCATCATCAACAACAGTCAACAGTGCAGGTGTAATTTCAGGTAAAATCTCCAAATGCCTCAACCCAATTTCACCAATTACCCTAGAATTCAAATGAAAACATCAGATAGATTGATGAATTTCTAGAAAGAAGAGGGGAAAATCTAGACAAAATGGAAGGTAAAAGAAAATACAATTCTTAAAAAAGGGAAAGTGCTAAGACCTTTAATGTCCAATCTAAGAAGATAAAAAGGACTTAAAGCCTTTCTTTTTCCCAAAAAAGCAACAAAATCAGAATCTGCTTCAAGCTCACTAACCTTAACAAACACAAAAGAGTAAAACAACAAATGCATGAATGATCCCCTCAAAAAAATCAGGAATATGCAAAGAGAAGACGAAAACAAATGGTAAGCGGGGTGTGTGAAATTGGAAGCAGCAGTTTACAAGTCCATTAGTGGAGAACAGACGTGGGCCTGTCAGCTAAGGTCATTCCAGAAATTAGTGTAAGGAGACAAGAAAATTGAGGGATTTTGTATCAGCAGGAATCAGTCAAAGTCTTAATAATGAGAACATTGCATTTTTAAAACAATTCTCCATAGTCTTCAGCCCATCAAAAAAAGCATCTCACCAATTCCCTTGAAGACCACATAAACTTTAATCACCTTGTGCAAAAGAAAATACCATTCAACAGAAACTGCTAAAGCTACCTTACCCACTCAGGAGATGTTTCCAGACACTGCAATAAAACCCAATTCACCTTATCCCTTAGGAATAAAATTAAGCAATCTTGCTTCTCTCTATATGCAATTCATACAGCCACAAGGGAGCTCCTAGTCTTCTATAAAATTACAAGCAATCCTACACAAATCATAAGCCAGAATTATGAAGACCTTTCTTACATCAATTGAAGAGAATCCTGCTTCTACTCCTCATCCACCAGTATAAGAACCCTCCTTAGGAAATACAGTAAAAATTAAGAAAGAGATTCCTATGTGGAGAAGGCAGCCTGCATCCTGGAAATTAAATTCAAAGCAGGGCACAAGCCACGAGCTGAGGAACTTGTCCGTGCAGGAACCAACAAATAACAAATAAAAAAAATAAAAAAATAAATTAAAAACAGAAACAAGTAGCTTGACAAGTGAATCAGCCAACCTTATCTAACTCCCGTTTAATTCATTTAAACAAACAAGGTGATCTAGAGGCCAACAATTCTCACAATAAACCTTTTAACGTATTGGAAGAATAAAAGAAGATCGATTGATAAAGTAGAAATTTTAGCCTCCTTTCACTATAATCATTAGCACTTCTATTGTTACATAGATTCCCAATAATATTGATCGTTCTTGTGATGCCTTGTCAAGCAAAACATTGGATTTTGTTTCTATCATTCAGAAGTTAGGATTCCTGATTTCCTATAGCTCACACATATATTATCATAGTACGTAAACTACTATGAATTTAAGGATTCACCATAAGCGTCACATTCCCAACTCTTCACAATTTAGGATCCACCACAATGTCACCCTAATCCCAATACAGTAACTCTATCCTTAAATTCTTCTTTCTGGCACTTAATTCAAGACAGGCTACGTTGAGAGGCCCAATTTATAATTTTCAATTTTTAAAAATATGAAAACTTTTTCTAGACATTCTAAAACAGTATATGTAACTACTTCGTATTATATGAGAAAAGGAACAAAAAGATTGATATTCTACTATTACAACTGTAACATTAGGGGAAAAAAATGATACTTCAATCTTCTGCCATAACCGCAGTACCAATCTTAAACCCATTTTAGGTAATCCCTAAGGTTTTATCATTAAACTATTCTCCTCCTGATTAACCGAAATCAAAAACACAAACACCTCCTCTTGACACTATCCCTAGTAGCTTTATAATCAATCATTGAATTCTCAATACTGAATTGTCCTTCCACAAACATTCTTCTTAAAATCTACAGAATGTTTCCAATAATTCTAGTACATATCAATGTTCCAACAAACTCCTAAACAAAATAACAAACAATAAAAGAATGGCCAGTACAAGTACTAAAGTTTATAATCAACAATCATCATATACAACTCCAATGCACAGAAAATCAAAACCCCACAAACTAAAAAACTACCATATTCCATAAAAATCAATTTTAATCAGTAAAAATACAATCAAATTGATGACCCACAACCCGCCAACGGAAAAAAAATCCGATAGTGAATCAGTAAAAATAAGTTTAGGAGAAACTTACTCGGTAACGCATTTACGAACAGGGCTAAAACAATCCGAAAGAAGCTTCAATAAAGAACGAAGAAAATCAGAGAAAGAAACAGTAGTATCATCTTCTACACCCAACAATTCCTGCTTAAGTTGATGCAAATTTTCGAGCTTTGAAGGGGTATCAGCAGCAAAGGTAATTGAGTCAATGAGACTCTGAATTCTTTCTTCAAAACCAGCCGCCATTAATCCCACCATTATTCTTTCTTCTTCTTCTTGATTAATTAATTTTGTGAATTTTGCAATTGCTTCATAGCAAGATCTTGCAGTATTTTTGGGGGAAAGTTAATGGGGGACGAGCGGGAGAATAAGGGGTTAGACGTTAGAGAGACTGAGAAATCGTTATAGGGATTTTTTTTTTCCTTGTAAGCCTAATTACTGAAGTATTTTGTAAAGTGGACTCGTCGTCAAATTATTTACCAAATTAAGCTTTTGGGGTAAAATGGAATGTCGGACAGCGTTTTATACCCTGGTTTTTTTTAAAAGAAAAAATCAGGGTACAAAACGTTGTCTGGCGTTTTACATGTTAACTTGTTTTTTTTTTAAATTTCGTAATTTCTGATTTTTAAAATTTATTAAAAAAAAAACAATTACACTAAAACGATGTCCCAGGCAGAGTTTTATGTACTCGATTAAACGCTGTCCCAAACAGCATTTTTTCAGCTGGACTGCAGCAGCCAGCAGCCTCCCCATTCTAAATTCTACCCCCAACACACCACCCCCAGCCTTCAATCAGGCACCACCCCACCACCAACCCCAACCGTCCCACCACCGTCGACCACCACCGACCACCACCTCCCGCCACTTTCGACCACCCTTAGGCACTTCACAACACTCCAACCACCCCCAACAGCACTACAACCACCCCCACCACCAACCCCAACCTTACCACCACCATCGACCACCACCAACCACCACCTCCCGGGACTTTCGCCCACCCTTAAGCACTTCAGAACACTCCAAACACCCCCAACAGCACTACAACCACCATGAACCACCACCGGCCATCGCTTCTACTCCGTTTCTCATTATGGAGCCCAAATGTCTTGTGTTTGATATATATTGGCCTAGAATGATCTATTTTGACTGACGTAAGTCCGATTTGGACAAATAAGGAAATTAAACTTCAAACCACACACAGATTCATTCAAAAAACATTTATTATATTAATAATTTAAGTGTTATATACATCATTTTAGAGAATCCGGCTACAGCCAATAAATCAGATAATACTATCCCGACTCATTTATTTGGGGTAACAGTTCTCTATCCTGTCTGTCGTCCCTCCGTCTGACACGACGCCGCCTGTAATGAGTAGTGGTGGTGAATGGGTCTCGGGGCGATGGCGGAGTCTGCTGGCTGGACGATGGGTCCTCCTGGGAAGAGGGGGGCGCATAACTGTGGATAATGTAATCTTTTGCGACTCTGGGTGACGTAAGATCACCTCCATCGCTACATAGGCCGAACTCGAACTGTGAATGGACGGAGTGGCCATCATGACCTGTAACATCCCCAAATCTCCCTCTACGGAATATGTAGAAAATACGTATAAATACCGTAGAGATAGACTTGGGCGTACTACCGCCGCGTGATAACGCAAGGCTTATACTTTTAAAAGTACTTTTGCAGCGGAAAATTCTTTATTCTTATTAATAAAACTTTAAATAAACTTGTTCATAATTTTTGACACAAAACAAAGTCAAACTTTTCCTAAGCTAGGTGAAATTCCCGTGGACTCCCGTATGCATCAATTAACTTCCACCTGAAAAGTTCACCTGCTTACCATAAATGGTAAACAGGGCAAAGCCAAAACAAAAGTACGTATTAGCAAATTATGCTAAGTAGATTATGTGTAAGATAAGTAAAACATAATTTAAATCATTTAAGTTTAATTCATAAGAATTCCAATGCCATACTCATGTAAGAGCTTTTCCAAATCAATGCTTTCAATATAAGTTTAAAACTCAATCGATTACGTTCCAAAACCAATTCCTCACTAAGTGTGCACACCCCCAAGTGGTTTACTTTATGAACAAAGGCCAATCTTGAGGAAAGACTAGGTCATGCAAAGTCCATAGTCTTCTCTAATACATTCCCTAAGTGGGATTCATAACCATATTGATTGATTTACTTAAAAGCACCTTTTAAAATCTGTTATACTTGAATAACAATAAACTTGTAAATCGTTTTTAATCCAATCCTTTTTAATAATTTCAATCATGATTCTAAGTCTCTTTTGTTTTAATCAAAATCATTAATTTCAATCCATCATACAACATAATTTCATAAAACATAATTTCGTAATAACAAAATTTCATACGGAAAATATAATTTCATACGGAACAATATAATATAATTTATAAAACATAATAAATCATAATTTCATAAGAAATATATATAAACATAATTTCATAGACAACTTTCGAAGGTATCAACCCACATAACGTACCTTAATTCCGAATATCAATCAACACTTCGCACTTTCAAAGTTCAATCACGAATACACCTTGCAATTAACATAACCATACGGTTATCACAACATCTTTAGACATAAACCCAAATCTAATGTACATGGACTATAAAACACTTTTTAAAATAATACTTTAATATAAAATTATAACTGTGAAATAGGTAATTATATTTTAGAAAACTAACCATGAAGAAAATAAAGGAATAGGATTAAAGGAAATTGAATTTGCGTTGGAAAGGATAGGCAGAACTTGCAGAGGTCATAAATCCTTTGATATAACTCCAAATTGGGTGATTCTTGAGCCTAACCTCAAGGAGTTTTTGGGAGGAATAATTTTCTGTGAAATAGAAAAATCCAAAAACTGACCAGAAGTGCCCGAAAATTGGCTCCAAAGATATACGGGCAGATTTTCTTTTAGAAAAGAGGAAAAGAAAAATAGGAAAAGTTTGAGGGAAAAGAAGAGTAAAAGAAAAGAAGGGAATTGAGATTTTGGTGTGAAGAATATGAGAGGTATGAGGGGGTATTTATAGGTGTTTAGGTGATGAGTTTATAGCAATTTAGGGTTTATAATTTATGGAAGTTTTGAAGAATAGAAATTAGGGTTTTAAATATATAGAAGGCTATAATATTTTATTTGATCATGAAATTCTATTTGGTAGGTTTTAAGCTTGGAGTGCAAGTATGACATAGAATCAAATAATTTTAGATTTAAGAATAGAAGTAAGGAAATTTAAAGGATTTTATTTTTAATAAAAATAATTTGAAAATCTTATAGAAAAAATCATGAGTGGCCGAAAATATTGAGCTAAATATTGCTCAATATTTTCGGACCTCTTATGTTAGTTTGGGGATTTTGTAAAATAATTTATTTTACTAAAATTAAAGATTCAATAAGTTTATAAATATTTGGAAGAATAAAATCAATTTTCTTACTAAATAATTAGGGTAGCCAAAAATTTGGTCTATAATAATTAATAAAATCAGATTTTTATTATATAAAATCTAAAATACTATTTGATTAATTTAGGAAATCATTTTATTTCATAAAAATAATTAACTTAGCAAATAATTAAGAAAAATCGGATTTTTAATGTATAAAATCAGAAAATAATACTTCATTAGTGTAGGAATTAATTTTATTTTATGAAGATACTTTACTTAGAGTAAAAATCAGATTTTTAATTGTAAAATTTGAAAATGATATTTATTTAGTTTTAGGAAATTAATTTTATTTCATGAAAATAATTAGTTTAGCAAGATATTAAGTAAAATTGGATTTTATTGGAAAAATCCGAAAATTCTATTTACAAAAATCAGATTTTTAAATCCGAAAATACCTCTAATTTTATTAATTAATATAGTTTTGGTTTATTATTTATTTAATCAAAATACTATTTATAAAATGTTTAGTTTATCCATTTAATTAAAATAAATGATTTAGGCGCCAAAATTCAAATATCATTTTGGCTCCAAAACTGAAATACTCTTAAGTTAGAAAATACGTCGAAAATACGAGACTAAATACTCTTTAATTTAGAAAATACCTTTCAAAAAATACGGGGTATTACATGACCGTCCCGCGGGTGGACGAGATAGCCATGACCATATCTCTGTAAGGTAGCCACGCCCATATCTCACACCCGCTCGACCTGGGCTCTGGTGGGTCCATCTGCAAGGGCGTCTGATAGTGCATCAACCACCGCCACCATTTTCGCCGCCTGCAGTAATCATCGATCAATCAGTTGTATGATATAGAAATTTAAAAATTGATGAAAATAAGTAGATTAAATAAACTCACATATCGACTAATGACGTCAAAGGCTGGATGGTAATGTGTGGATGGTGGGGTGTAGCTGGGGTTGATGAAACGCCGTGTAATCCGCCTGTACCAGACCATGTATGGATCGTGAGGGTCCATAACGCCCTGGATCGGATCACCTGCAACGACGAACTCCAACCGTCACTGCCATAGGTCAATGTAAACCCTATGCTCCACTGACCAGTCTATCTCCCCCTTTCCCCGACGGTCAATGCCGTGCAAGCGGATACTAGTGTCACACTGCTAGGGGACAGGCTGGCGTAGTCCAAACTGTCTCATGACTCGGTTGGGTAGGTGACTTTCCACAACCTCGAAACATATCATGGGGTCCTGGCACGCCACTCTGCCTGATGATCGAGCAGATAAGCAGGCATGGAATCAACTAAGTCAGCTACATACGGATCCCATGTCACCTGCAATAACACATCAAAAGTAATATCGTAAATAGGTTAGTGCACTGACAAGAATTATATTAGAAAAATGTTTACAAATTCCTTTTAAGTTACCACCTGATCGTCGGTGAGTCGGTCAGGGCGTCTCGGTAGTACGGAAGACCCCTCGCCGTATGTGCATGTGTCAGTCTGGGGACCACCCACCTAATACCAAACAATGTTTTAGTTTGTCAACTAACAAAATAAAACCGTATGAAGTCTAAAATAATGAAACCTGTAACAAACTTGCAACTGTACGCCTCGTCAGGTGTAGGGAGCGATGGAGCATCGTACGCCTGGTACTGCTCGTCCCGATCCTGCTGCCCCTCACGATGTACAGCAGGCCTACCTGGTCTGCCTACATGGATATGCTCCCAAGCTCATCACTGTAACACAAAAATACAAAACTAGGTTAAGTATAAACTAGGTAAGTAATAGCCAAACTAGATTGTTGATAATTAGGTTAGTTACCTGAAGCACAATCAAAGGACCCCCGATCTCGCCAGAACCACGGTGGGATCCTCTACACAGGTGGCGATACAACGTCGCCAAACAGGCACTACCCCAGCTGAAGTCACGGATATGATCCCAGTCGTGGTCTAACAGCTGTAGGTAAATAAGCTGCAGATGGCTCCCGCTCTTGTTGCCAAACAACACGCTAAAGATGAGCAGGAACAAGTATGCTCGAGCGTGTCTCTAAACCGTGGCGTCATCAGCTTCCGCAGGCAGCACACGAAAAGTCTGGCGTATCCAGCCGGTCCTCAACCCAAAGCCCCTGATCTCGTCGGGACCTGGCTGAACCCCGAGAACCCGAGCTACCAAACCAACGGGATCGACTAACGCATGTCCTGTCACCGCAGTCCCATGTATAGGAAGGCGCGTGAGTATCGCGACGTCCCGCAACGTAACAGTCGCCTCCCTAACAGGTAGATAGAAGGAGTGTCTCTCCTGTCTCCACCTCTCCGCGAGCGCATTGACAAGCACTCGATCGATCTCTCTGAACGCCATTCGATGAATACCACCCAAGCCAGCCAACTCGACGTACGCAATAACGCGTGGATCGACAACCCATTCGACCATAACCCTGGTAGTGTAGTGCCTGCAAACTAGCATCCTCACTGGATCAACCTGATAAGAAACCGTACGGTCGTAATTAATATCAGATAGTATATCAATTTAACATGCATAAATACAAGAACTGACAGATGAAATATTACCGACTGGTCTCATATGTCAACGCTTCGATGTTTGTCCTGTAGTGTCAAGATAGAAGGATCAACAGGTCCGGGTGTCCTATCTTGTCCGTCCATGATATTTGTTCATTAACAACGTTATACACCAATTATCAACACAATTACTAGAGTAGCAATTAAACATGAGCTGGACGAGTTAAAGGCAACTATGGAAAATTTCAAATCACAAACTTCAAAATAGAAATGATCCAAATGTTACAAATGTTACAAAATCACATACAAAATCAACCTACTATTCTACTACATCAAATTACATATACAAACTTAGGTCCCGGTCGGTCTAGATGGAAAAGTTGTTCGGTTGTGACCCTGCTGGTGACAGCGGCTGCATTTTCTCGGTGGTCGGTTAGTCTCATCCATTTCATTACGTATGCGCTTTGACTTTGGCCGACCTTTTCCTCGTACCATGCTGCCGTCCGGAATGAGTTTAGGGCCGATGTACTCTGTCCAGGTCGTCTCACAGGGGATAGGCAAGAACTGTGGTGCATATGTGTTCGTATATACCTCCGATTGCAGCACATGGTCCACCCACAGCCGCTCTGATAGTGAATACGTCGCACAAACTGCTAGAACATGAGAACATGGGAGATGGAATATCCGTGGTTTGTTGCATGTACACGTTCTCAACTGAAAGTTAACAGTATGTTTACGGCCTCCTTTTCTACCAAATCGCTCTCCCATTTCTGTTGTAACTTGGTAAATATGCAATCGGCGGTTATAAGCATCCACTCTGTGATATCTGGCTTTTACGGTGTTCTTCTCCAGTATGGCAGTGACCTTGGGGGGGGGGGTATGCCAGTCCCTGTTTAGTCCTAGACTTAGAAGATTCCCTTCTTAAAGTGAAGTACCTGTTAACTCTGTGGAAAGTTAACTCGACAAGGGACATGATCGGTAGAAACCGATTTCCCTTCAACACATTGTTAAATATTTCAGAGAAGTTTGTAGTACATATCCCATATCTGCGACCAACGTCGTGAAACAAAGACCATATAGGAAACGGGACTTGGACAATATACTCTAGGGATTTGGTACATGCATGGTCAATCAAAAACAAATCAGCTTGCAATTTTCTTTCTTGCCTTTGGTACGCAGTAGCCTTGAACGTATCTCTCGTGTTGTTGCTTCGCACGTGAGTTTTCAAGTTAGAAGCCATGTGGCGAACACAAAACCTGTGACAGGCTCACGATAAGGTGAATCCTACGTTAGGATCATTCATTGCTGTAATGATCCCAACATGTCGATCAGATATAACACAGAGGCCATCTCGTTGCGTGACATGAACCCGAATGCAGCCCAGAAACCAAGACCAGCTGGAAGTGTTTTCCCCTTCAACCAACACAAATGCAAGCGGAAATACTTGGAAGCTTGCATCCACACTTGTAGCAACCAAAAGTGTTCCTTTATACTTACTGTACAAGTGCGTCCCATCGATACAGATAACAGGCATACAATGTTTAAAACCATCGAAACAAGGACCGAAGGCCCAAAACACACTCGTTCAAACACTTCCATGTTGCTGGAGTAAATACCATCCACCAGAGCTTTGTGTTTCCATACAACAACGGTTCCCGGGTTTGACTGTTGGAGTGCTTGCATGAAGTGCGGAAGTCTGCCGTAAGAACTCTCCCAATCCCCAAATATTTCAGCTACAGCTTTCCCCTTGGCATACCATGCTCTTCGATACGAAACCTCGAAATGAAATTGCTTGGAGATGAGTTCCTGAATGAATTCAACTTTCAAGGACGGATCTTTCTGCATAAAGGACTTCACATACTCAGATATAATGGACGAATCCAAGTGTGGGTGATCAGTAGATAGTAATTCAGTGACACAATTCTCTCGGTGCAGGCCTTTGTATGTGACTAGGGTAAAGCCACGCGAGTGCTCACTTGTTTTGGTAACCCCGTAGCGACCAACCACATTTCTTCTTGCACCGCAGACGAAGGACACTCTCATTCGAGGTCACTATGGTGTAGAATTGATTCCTCCGTATGGAATACATCTTCACCATTTCTTGAAGCATTTTCTTACTTTCAAAATACATGCCCTTCTCAAATTCTTCCCCGGGAACAAACGATGTATGGCTACGGTATTCGACCCAATACTGATCAACTTCATAGTTCTCGTTTATCTGACTAAACCAAGGTACGGGAGTTCTAACCATGGGCTCACCAACTTCCAGGTGTGCAGGTTCAACAGCCATGTTCTGAAGTCCATCTTCCTCCTCTCCGCTCTGGGCCTCATCATTTGTTTCCGCATACACATCATACACAGACAATTCGTTATTCACAATAGTTTCAAGATGATTTGGCACAAGTTGAGACGGTGATGCTTGAACATCATCTTGCATAGGCGAATAACTACGCAATTACATCGGTGAAGGTGTGACGGTGTTTGATGTCGAAGGACCATGTTGGCCGAACATTGTCACATATGCCCCCCCATGTACAGGTGAAGCTATATGAGAACTAAACGGCATGTAAAATTGATCGTCGTGCAGCATTCTACTGAAAGATCTCATCCCATATTCATTCAATGGAGTGTTGTGTGAGGGCACTTGGAAGGACTCTATGTTGTAACCGGAAATATATGTAGCTTGTTGTTCTGGCCGAGTACTTTGTTGGGTACATATAGGCACCATTTCTACATATATCTCAGTGTGAACACCCTTCATTGCAACAACGCTCCTCAAAGCTTTCAAATGTTTATTCAATTCGTAGAAACAGGTAACACTTGAACCCCATTGCCAGTTTCAAACCTCATTTTAATGTTTAGTTCAACATTCCTTGGGTTTGAACCAATACTACTATGAACCTCGTTCATCAAAATCATTGAAAGTCATGTTCGGTTCAAGTGTTAGTGGTTCCATATTTCCTCCACTATACTCGACACGAGGTCCATTGAACAGAATTTCACCTCCCCACCGACATAACAACACAACATTTTGTGAAACCATATTCTACATTACAACCAAAACACATACTTAAAGGCACTAAATCATCCCTAAATCGCCATAATTAAACAACAATGTACATACTTTTCAAATTACAACAACTTAGAAGTACTAAATCAACATTAATAAACAACAATGTGGGTTATCACAATCACTCAAAAACTAACAATTATCAACCATTATCAACATTATCAACAATTATCTACACTAACAATTCAACATTATCAACAACGTTATGTTTGGTGTTGGGTTTTTGATTAATGAAACGTGGGAGTCCTTTGTGTGGTTATTCAATACATTTTTGAGATCCATGGGAGACAAACATCCAGTTACAATAATGACTGATCAAGCTATGGCAATGGCTAAAGCAATTAGGATAGTATTTCCCAATAGTCGTCATCGGTTATGTACTTGGCATATCAATGAGAATGCGAAGAAAAACATCAAAGGACTCAGACAAAAAGAAGGGTTTACTGACCTTTTTGATATTGTGCTGAAGTATACTGATACAGTTGCAGAGTTTGAACATTATTGGTCAAGGTATTATTATATTTCTATGTCATGTTTTTTTTTTATTTATTATTTTTATTATATATATATATATATATATTGATGTTCTTTTTTGTTTTACATTATGTTCTTTTTTTAATGTACTGATGTCCTCTTAATTTCTAAATTTTGTTCCTTTTTAATGAATTGAATGTTTTTATTATTATGAACTAATGTTCTTTCTATAAAGATGTAAAATTCTTTTTTTTTTTAAATATTTCATTCTTTTTAACAATTGTTTTAATTTATAATGTTCTTTTATTTTTTTATATGTTCTTTACAAAGTAATAGTATGTTCTTTTTATTGACATTATGTACTTTTTCATTTTCAGCATGCTGGACAAGTTTCAATGCCAAGACAACAAATGGATTATGAATCTGTATAACATTAGAGAGATGTGGTGCCCTGCGTATTCTAAGGACTACTTTAGTGGAGGTATTTTGTCTTCTTAAAGGAGTGAAACAACAAACAAGTCCGTTTCACGTAGGCTTCATATTACTCATGGTCTTTGTGATTTTTATAACTCTTTCATTGAGGTTGTTGATGAGTGGAGGGGTAAAGAAGGCAATCATGACTATAATAGTATCACTGTTAATCATCATTTAGTTTGGGCCGATATTGGGTTATTGGAGCATGCAAGAAAGATTTACACTATTGCATTGTACCTAATGTTTGAAGATAATTTCATTAGTGGTGTACCTTGCATTGCTAATGTTATTGCAATGCAGCCTCCTCTATATGAATATCATGTTGGTCATCCTAAGAAGGATTTAATAAAGCATATTGTTGCTTTTGATGAGTCCATGGTTACAGTTGATTGCACTTGTAAGTATTTTGGTGAAGTTGGGCTACTTTGTAAGCATTCCCTTCGTGTTTTACATTTGAACAATATCACCTACATTCCATCGAGATATATTGTGAAGAGATGGACAAAAGGTGCAATGTGCGCTAGGATTGATGATAATGATGTGGCTCATGAAGGTATTACTCCTCCGAATGTTTGGAGGTTACATAACATTAGGACCTTCATACGTATTGTTGATCGTGCGCAATATGATACGAGGACTCGAAATGTTATTGAGGAGTCTATTGATGAGTGTACAAATAGGATTAATTTGTTATTGAAACAAGATGATGAAAATGTTGTGCAAGAATCTGTTGAGAATCAAGAAGGTGAAGTTGTTGAGAATCAAGAAGGTGGTAATTTGTTGGAGCAAGTTCCAATTGAAAAACCTGCTGAAAGTGAAGTTGTGAATGAAAATCAACAAGAAGTGAAAGACCCGATAAAGAGAAGGAAGAAAGGATAAAGAAATACTAGGCTTAAAAGCACACAAGAAAAAATATGCAACAAGTTGAAAGGACAAAAGATCAAGTCCTGGAAAAAAAAAAGAGTTCAAAAGGAGCTTCAAAAATGAAACAAAAGGCTCAGTCTACAATTAAGGTATTTGAGCTCCTTTTAAATCTTGAATGTTCTTTTATACATACTTAATGTTCTTTATAAATCATGAATGTTCCTTTATACATTCTTAATGTTTTTTATACCTACTTAATATTCTTTTTAAAATCTTTAATTTCCTTTTATAAATTCTTGATGTTCATTTTAGTTACATCAATGTTCTTTTTAATTACTTAATGTTCTTTTACTCTATGTCTGACGTTCTTTTAAATTCTATTTTCCTTTTAGGAAGCATTGATTGTACCTTTGAGAAATATTATTGCACATTCGTCTGAATATGGTGGTTCAATAGAGTATTTCGAGCCGGATGATTATTTTGGAGTAAATGTCACCCCTTTTTGAATTTTTCATTGAATTTAATTTGTTCTAAACTTGGATTACTATAATTGTAATAGATTTTTTGGAATTAATATCATTACTTTGAATATTTCATTTTATATATTATTTAACTTGATTGCTTTTTTTATTTCAATAACATAAATTTAATAACAAAACTAAATTACATCTATATATGTTGAAAGATCATATACTTCAAAATGTACATATGTTCCAAAGTAACAAGTACATGATTGTTCAAAATAAAAAGTACAAGTTACTATTTCAAAATAAAACATTAGCATTATATAAAAATTGTTCAAAACTTGTAATCAAACCATACTTCAGCATTGTCATTCACTTCAAATCTGTTCTTGTTTACTCTACTTGTAAGGATTTCATTGCTATAATATATCCTTAGCTTCTTTAGAGCATCAAACTATAAAACAAAAAAGAAAATCACATCAGCAAAAAGGGACATTAGATCTAATAAAAAGAACATTAAACATATTTAAAAGAACATTATGCAAGAATAAAAGAACATATCTTACACTGTCAGCCTTTAACCCACATTCTCATTTCCATTTACCATAATAGGTCTCCATGTGCCTCATTGTGTACACCCCACAATCTACATCGTTCTCAAGTGTTCTCCAAGGCATAGTTAACAAATTCACGTTATAGTTGTTCATTTTCTCATATATCTTGAGGTCTTTCTTTTTACACCATAAAGCAAAGGCATTCAATTGTAAATGATCAACATAATTAATAAAAAAAATATTTGATACATTAGTTATGGGAAAAAAAGTAATGGAATGAATTTAAATTTATTTACATCTTACCATCTTTTCAGGCCAATCATAGTACTTTGAAGAGAATTCAACACCCTCTACAAGTGGTTTGTTGTCTATGATTTCAACTGATTTTGCCTTGGTGTTGATAACCATAACGTATGAATGTAAGCTTGCATCATTTACATTAACGTACACAGGGAAAAAGAACTGACATCATAGAATAAAAAAATAACATTAGTTTTTAGATAAAGAACATCAATTATTAGAAGATAGAACATGTGGACTAAAATAAAGAACATTACTAACTTATAAAAGGATTCTAAATAAGAAAAAAACAACATTATATAGAATTGAGTACATACCAATCGGACACCTTTAACTGACTCTATCTCACAATCAATTAGCCAATAGTCGAGTGTTTCAATAAAATTTGCAAGTCTCTTCTCTTCTGTAACCTCTTGGCTATCATCTTTGTAAGCATCATCCTGACATAGTGTGTTCTAGAGAATAAAAGTGCATTAGTATTAGAAGAAAGAATATTAAGTATTAGAAGAAAGGATATGTATATTAAAAGAAAAAAACATCAATAATAATACATACAAAAATATTATATCAAAACAAATTAAAGCAACAAGACTACTTACATTAGCATTGTTTGGGAAAAAAATTCTCCTCTTTTTCCCTGAAACTTTTTTTGGTCAAAATTAAAGCCCAAGCATCTACTATCTCGTAGTCGATGTGCTCATTACTCCCTAATCTTTTAATCATTTCTCTAGTAATCATGGTGTGACCATCCTCGTAGAGTATTTCACTGACAAATTCAACAAGAATATATAATCAATAATATAATAAACAATATTAGTATATAATATAGTACACTAAGAAAAAAGAGTTGATAACTTACGTTGGAACAAGTTCTTCATCATCAGAATATGCATATTCCAATAAAACATTTATGGATTGCATTGGGGTCCTCTATTAAATGAGAATATTTTGCAAGGTATGGTGACTTGTACACAGCTGCTAACCTTTTTGCTCTTTTTGGAGTCTTAGGTGTATCACTGAAAATGTACATTTGCATTTACTAAAAAGAACATAATTATAATATAAAAGAGCATCTCACTAACAATAAAAGAACATCATCACTAATTAAGCATATACAATATCTAAATAAACTAAACAACTTTCCCTCGAAAATAAAAGAACATCAGACAAAATAATAAAGAACATCTGTTAAATTTATACCTTTCATTCTTTTATTCACCCAATTTTTCTTGAAAAGGACCCTCCTCTTTTTCCTTCACCAGACCATCCTTTTCTTTATCCATCTTTTCTTTTAGCTCACTGTGTTGTTAAATATTAAATAAGGTTAGATAAATATAAATGAACATTACACCAAATCAAAATAAGAAAAAGAACATTCAATAGAAGGTAAACGAACATCACTAGTAGTAAAAAAGAACATCAGCAGGTAATGTTACCTTTGCTCTTTTTGTTCAGCATTTTATTCCATCTTCTTCCTTGTCTTGATCTTTATTTAAAAAATCATCTTTCTTATTTTTTCCATCAATCTCCATTTCATCTTCCTTTTTTCCCTCTTCATATGCTTTGTGTACTTCATCTACCCTTGAAACACTCAATAAAAGTATTAATGGATTAAAAGAACATTATATTTATGATATAAGAACATTACATTTATACACTATTAAGAAAGAACATTACACTTACATTAAAAGAACAATATATTCACAATTAAAGAACATACTCTTTAAATTAAAGAACATCACATTCATACATAAAGAACACATACTATAAATTGAAGAACATTCATTAACATATAACAATTTCATAATCAAGTATTACAATCCAAATGAAAAATATAAATAACTCAAGTACATAAATCAATTTGTTGAAGATTAGTTACCCTTTCTTATCAGAACCAACTTTGTCCTTACTACAAACCATGTCTACTGCATTGCACTCAAACAGTATCTCCGTGAAAACTTTATAATAATCTATATCTTCAAATGTTGGCTCACTGGATGGCAGGGGTGTTGGAGTGAACCTAAGCTTTAGGCTAAGATCACAACCTTCCTTGTCACTTTCAGGTATAATAGATATGGGGATAGTCTCCATAAAGATTAATGGATTAAAAGGTGGAGGAGTCATGTGGTTCTTCTCTTGGTTGATTATCTGTGTAAGCATCTTGACCATGGATTACTTGAAATTTTGCACTCTTAACAACATTGTCTATAATGTCACCAAACCAATCAGAAGCAAAAAATTCAACGTCTTGACTCAACAGTGAACCTCCATCCACCTTTTGCATAGGTGTACTGCTATGGAATTCAGCACCAGGCATTTTGCAACCAGAACACCTTGCCCACATAGCAGATACATTGAACAATGTGTTTTCTTGCTCAAGTGAGGTGTTGTGAAACCTCTCACCCATTTTTAACACATTTGAGAGATTCACAAACTCATTAGCAATTCTCTCGATTGCTTCTCTTATCATCAGAGTATACTCCTGCAAAATTAAAAACTTTCTATTGTTTATAAAAGAACATTCTATATATAATAAAAGAACATTATTAATAATATAAAAGAACATTTTTAATTATAAAAGAATATCATAATGTTCATAAAAGAACATTTTATATTTAATGTTTTTCAAAAGTACCTGCAAGTTTGAATGCTCTTTTTGATACCATTGTTGATTGGTTTGATGATGTTGTTTCTGCTGCTGTTTTTCATCTTTTTGTTGTTGTTGTTGTTGTTGTTGTTGTTGTTGATCCAACTTTTCTTCTTGTTCTTCAGTCTTCTTCAGTTGTTGGTGTTGTTGTTGTTGTATGTCTTCTTCTCTCTCCATTGAAACTTCTTCTATGACCATTTGTTGTTGGTCGTCCATAACTAATGGAGACTGAATCCTTTCCAACAAAAGTCATGTCCAAACCCCAATTTCATCTCAAGCTTAATCCTGTTTTTTATTAAGTCAGAATTCCACACTTTAAGGAGTGGGAATTCCCTTAGGTTTGTCAAAGTGTGCCTTTGAAGTCTATCAAAATAACATACCTAAAAAAACACACTTAATATTTTTTTAAATAAAAGAACATTATTCAATATAAAAACGAACATTACATCATAAATAACGAACATATGTTTAATATAAAAGAAAACATATATCTTATTAAAGCATATGATAATACTTACCATCAAGAATGGAAGTGGCCCACAAAAATACCTTGATTTGTTCTCCTTCCAGTCTTCAGTCCTTTTAATTAGGCTTTGAATAGTGTATTCAGCCCAATTGTAATGTGGGATTTCATCAACATCAATTGCTGTTTTCAAAAATCTGTAAGAAAAGGAATATTAGTTTAGTAAAAAAGAACATCAATGCTACTTTCAAAATCAACATGAATATATTTATGTAATATTTATACCTTAAAAAAGGTTGTGGGTTTGAAAACATGCTTTATGCATGAATTGACAACCAAAACCAAAAAACTCCTCATCCAATTATCGTCAAGTGGATTTTTTACCAAATTTTCAGATAATGATGTTAAAGTAGGAATTTTGCCATCATGATATTGCTTGAATTTGACCACCATTTCATTCAATTCATTGTCTTCAACCTTGGCTTCCACTATCTTTTTACCACCAATAGGTACCCCATAAACCAAATGCACATGTATAGGCTCAATACTCATTGACCTATTTCTATCACATAAGATACACAGTCCAC